TGCTGCTGCTGCTGCTGCTTGGTAGCCGCTGCTGCTGCTTAGTAGGTGCTGCTGCTTGGTAGCTGCTGGTGCTGCTTGGTAGCTGCTGCTTGGTCGCTGCTGCTGCTGCTGCTGCTTGGTAGCTGCTGCTGATGCTGCTGCTTGGTGGCTGCTGCTGATGTTGCTGCTGCTGCTGCTGCTTGGTAGCTGCTGCTGCTGCCGCTGCTGCTGCTGCTTGGTCGCTGGTGGTGCTGCTTGGTAGCTGCTGCTGCGGCTGCTCTTGCTGCTCCTTGGTAGCTGGTGGTGCTGCTTGGTAGCTGCTGCTGCTGCTGCTGCTGCTTGGTGGTGCTGCTTGGTGGTGCTGCTTGGTAGCTGCTGCTGCTGCTGCTGCTGGTGCTGCTTGGTAGCTGGTGGTGCTGCTTGGTAGCTGCTGCTGCTGCTGCTTGGTAGCTGGTGGTGCTGCTTGGTAGCTGCTGCTGCTGCTGCTGCTTAGTGGCTGGTGATGCTGCTTGGTAGCTGCTGCTGCTGCTGCTGCTGCTTGGTAGCCGCTGCTGCTGCTTAGTAGCTGCTGCTGCTTGGTAGCTGCTGCTGCTGCTTGGTAGCTGCTGCTGCTGCTGCTGCTTGGTAGCTGCTGTTGGTGCTGCTGCTGCTTGGCAGCTGCTGCTGCTGCTGCCGCTGCCTGGTAGCTGCTGCTATTGCTGCTGCTTGGTGGCTGCTGCTGATGCTGCTGCTTGGTAGCTGCTGCTGCGCTGCTTGGTAGCTGCTGCTTGGTAGCTGCTGCTGCTGCTGCTGCTGCTTGTTGGTAGCAGCCGCTGCTGCTCGTGCTGCTTGGCAGCAGCAGCTGCTGCTTGGTAGCCGCTGCTGCTGCTTAGTAGCTGCTGCTGCTGCTGCTTGGCAGCTGCTGGTGCTGCTTAGTAGCTGCTGCTGCTGCTTAGTAGCTGCTGCTGCTGCTGCTGCTTGGTAGCTGCTGCTGCTGCTGCTGCTGCTGTTGCTTGGTAGCTGCAGCTGCTGCTGCTGTTTGGTAGCTGCTGTTTGGTAGCTGCTGTTGGTGCTGCTGCTGCTGCTGCTTGGTAGCTGCTTGGTAGCTGCTGCTGCTGCTGCTGCTGCCGCTGCCTGGTAGCTGCTGCTATTGCTGCTGCTTGGTGGCTGCTGCTGCTTGGTAGCTGCTGCTGCGCTGCTTGGTAGCTGCTGCTTGGTGCAGCCGCTGCTGCTTGTGCTGCTTGGCAGCAGCAGCTGCTGCTTGGTAGCCGCTGCTGCTGCTTAGTAGCTGCTGCTGCTGCTGCTTGGAAGCTGCTGGTGTTGCTTAGTAGCTGCTGCTGCTGCTGCTGCTTGGTAGCTGCTGCTGCTGCTGCTGCTGCTTGGTAGCTGCTGCTGCTTGGTAGCTGCTGCTGCTTGGTAGCTGGTGGTGCTGCTTGGTAGCTTGTGGTGCTGCTTGGTAGCTGCTGCTGCTGCTGTTGGTAGCCTATGCTGCTGCTGCTTAGTTGCTGCTGCTTAGTTGCTGCTGCTGCTGCTTCTGCTGCTGCTTGGTAGCTGCTGGTGCTGCATGGTGGCGGCTGGTGCTGCTTGGTAGCTGCTGCTGCTGGTGCTTCTGCTGCTGCTTGGTAGCTGCTGCTGCTGCTGCTGCTGCTTGGTAGCTGCTGTTGATGCTGCTGCTGCTTGGTAGCTGCTTGGTAGCTGCTGCTGCTGCTGCTGCTTGGTGGCTGCTGCTGATGCTGCTGCTGCTTGGTATGCTGCTGCGCTGCTTGTTTGCTGCTGCTGCTGCTTGGTAGCAGCCGCTGCTGCTTGTGCTGCTGCTGCTGCTGCTGCTGCTGCTGCTTGTTAGCTGCTGCTGATGCTGCTGCTTGGTGGCTGCTGCTGATGCTGTTGATGCTGCTGCTGCTTGGTGGCTGCTGCTGCTGCTTGGTTGCTGCTTGGTTGCTGCTTGGTTGCTGCTGCTGCTGCTGCTGCTGGTGCTGCTGCTGCTGCTGCTGCTGCTTGGTTGCTGCTGCTGCTGCTTGGTAGCTGCTGCTGCTGCTGCTGCTGCTTGGTAGCTTCTGCTTGCTGCCGCTCCCGCTGCTGGTTACAGTTATCGTTGTTGTGGCTGTTGCTGCTGCTGTTGCTGGAGTGGTTGTGCGTTGCCACGTGTTGGCAGTGTTGGGGTCGTACTCGGGGGGCGCTGTTGGCACTCTCCTTTCCCTCGTCCATGGCATGTTGCGATTCCCGGCCAGCTTTTGCTGCCAAAAGAGCCCCAGCGTTGTTTCTTTGCCTAGCTTTCGCCACCCCCCTCTGGGCCACAAGTTTGGATATTTTTGGTGTCAGTCTCAGTTTTCTTGATACTTGTGTAGCCACGCTTTGACAGGGCATCTGGAACGAAACCGTTGTAAGTGATGCAGAGCTTTAAACAAAGAGCAAATGCAGCACTATATATATATATATAAATATATAGTTAAATAAATAAATATAAATATATATATATATAAACTTGAAATGCTGAGGAGTTGCGGCGACGCATTGAGAGTCACCTTTGCGATCGCCTGGCCGCGTACGGACCGGCATGTATGCAGCCCAAGGCTCACTATAGCCTTCACTTGCCGTCGTTTCTGGCCCGAGACGGCCATTTGGCGAGTTGTTGGGCGCATGAAAGGAAGCGCCGACAGCTCAAAAGACAGGGCAATCGCAACTTAAAAACCAACAAATATTCAACAGTTAAAAGTCAAAAACAAAAAACATAAAAATAACAACAAAACGAGCTAAAAGATAGAACGCATAAAAAGAATATGTTGAAAGTAAAAATATAGAAAGTTGATAACAATGGAATATGTAAGAACGCCGATGGAGACATTAACCCGGGGGGGTTATTCATCCGACCCAAAAAACTGCAGACATTAATTTGGCAGTGAACATTATTCAGTCTGCGGCGGCGTACCTAAATGTTGGTGCGCTTGTCCTTCCACGCTCAGGGCCATTCGTCATCTAGTTTTTTGGCAGGGTGGGGCGCCCGAAGTGATGATGAGACCGGCGCCTACAAAGACATTCATCAGCTACCTGTGATGCAAGTTGGAGACGTCCAACTGAGTACATGCCCGTGATTGACTCGATACAGTGGAACCCTTTGTAACTAGAACAAGCTGCTGGCCACCACAGTCAAGTTTTCGCGCTGGCGGCGCTCGGTGGTCGTTCGATGTTTGGAGCTTCCGTTTGGAACCTCTTGGAGCATTGGAAGTTTTTGGACCCTGAAGGGCTCTCAGGAACTAACTCGTCAACTTGGTTGGACTCCTTTGCGTTCGTTTCGTCCGCGAGTTTTCACCTGGGTTGCCTGTGGCATGTGGCATTTAGACCGTATATATTTTTCCTCAAGTGTGTGTGATTTTGCGTTCGCCTTCTGTATGCCTCCTGCCGCCTTAGCCCTTTGATTTGTGATGGAGACGCGGGCAATGTGGGCAGGGTGTGTTGGTCCCAGGTCTATGTCACAAAGATAGATGATAAGCTTGGCGCTCAGACAACATCGTGCACTGAGAAAACAGGAAGCATCAAGAGTGAAACAGCGTGATCATTTGTTATCCATAAAGGATTGTGCCAGGAAAAAGTCTGTCATCGTGACGTTTGCGGCGGACAAGAAGGCCTTCCCCTCGGCGCATCAGCTATTTAAGTTAGGGCGGGAGGTCGCGCCGCGCAAGTCCAAGTCGCAAGTACAAGCACATACGCATATATCCGCATGACATATGTAGGTGGCCCATTGAGGTTTGGAAGGAGGTGCCATTCTCCAAACTTGGACGGTACGTGCCCCAGAGAATGCGTCCTCCAGCTATGAAAGCTGGACGTTCATGCGCTGACCTAGGAAAGGCTGCCCTTTGCAACCGCCGGTAGCTTCAAAGGCAGGGTGGGTGCGTGGCTTTGAACAGGCGCCGTTTCTTGGACAGAGAGGCTTTGTCACGACATGATTTGTGGCTTGTTTTTGCTGTCTCGATGGCCCCAATATTATGTGTTTGTTGCTGTCCTTCTTGTTCCCCAAAGCCAGAACACTGTTGACGTGTTTGAAAACAGGTTGATCTGACCGTAACTGTTGCCCACTCTTAGAAGCAGTCACCCTTTGCCTCCTCATTCCAGAGCAACGCACTTTTTCTTTGTGACGGTTCCACTACAAGAAGGGTAGTCAACGCACCATCAACCATTGCCAGTTTTTTCCCATACATCCAACCGTTGGTTCAAAATCTCCCACCCTACCACAGGTCGCCGCATCAACGGACAGCCCACTGGAACGGCGTTTTGTGCGTGCGTCCACCCCTTTGTCCAGGGGTTTCACGCATTTTTTCCAACAGTTGCGTGCGTGAAGCCCTGCGCCTCAACACAGATCCAGGGGCCTGTGGCGTGTGCAAAAACGGCGTGCCAATTCTCTGGAAAGATTATCAGGAATGGAAGGACCTTTCAGGGAAGTACTACATGGTGAAGCTCTTCGGGACAGAGTTGGAGGCTTTGTTGACTTGGGCGAGCGGCGCCACCGGTTACGCCCGGGTTCACCTCTGCACACCCGACTGCGGACAAGACTCCGAAGGTCCCGGATTCCTACATTGCAAGAAGCATCGGGGCAAACGAACCCTGGAAGAGATCCGAGACCTTCCTTGGCGCGACGTTTTGGTCAGTGCAGGTCGCCAAGAGGAGGACGAGTTGGCCGGGCTGAGAAGTCGGATGGAAGACATCGCAGCTCCTGCAGTGGTAGATCCAGGAGCAGAAGAACGACCAAAGGAGGAGGCCCGGGAGTTAAAAGAAAAGGAGAAAAAGAAGAAGAAGAAGAAGAAGAAGAAGAAGAAGAAGAAAGCAAAGAAGAAGAAAAAGCGCGCAAGGAGCCCATCGAGCACCTCCCAGTCTTCGAGTACAAGTTCAGAGGTAAAGCGCAAGGCAGTCGAGCAGAAGGTGATGTTCGGGGGGAGTGGACTCGATCCCCTGAAGAAGGCTCGGATCGCAAGAGGAGGAAAGCGCAGAGGTATGCGCAGCGATCTCAGAGCAAGAGGGCAGAAAGCAAGAGCAATTCAAGCGGCGAGGAAGGGACCTTGAAAGGTCAAGCCATTTTTGGCGAGCCCCAGCGAGTCCGGGCTGTCGCTTTGAGCTTTCCCGGAGTCTTATCAGCTCAGACCATCGAGAATACGCAGGAGTTGATGTTGGCAGAAGCGGGACAGGAATCCAGCCAGCAAGATTGCTGGGTTCCCACGCGGTTCCCACGCTCCTGAAATATTATCGACAAATGCTGAGTCGAAAGGTATCTGGACCGATGAGCAGGGAACTTCATACACTATGCACGGTGGGAGATTTGATGCTACGGCCAGCTTCCGGAAGCCATGGACACCCTGACCCAGAGGGTGAAGTCTTTAAAAGCCCAGATCAGTGGCCTTGCATGGACAGCTGCCCAACGCCTAGAACTTCTTCCAAGCGACGCGGCCACATTGTCGTCGAGACAGGAGTTGAAGATAGCGACAACAGAGCAGCGTGCCGAAGCCCAGGCCCATCAAAGCGGTGCATGGTGGAGCAAAGGAACAGGCAAGGAAGGGGGCAAAGGAGAGAGGACTGAGAAAGGAAAAGGCAAGGGAAAGCAGGGAAAGGAGAAGCCCAAAAAGGATTGAGACCTACCTCCAATATGCTGGTGACCCCTGAGGGTCAACTTCCTGAGATTGCGGGGCATTTGTACCCTGTGGAACCCAGGACGAGCCAGACATACAGCAGTACAGTTGGAACGGGGGTGGAGATCCCTGGGATGAGTGGAGATGATCGGGGCGCAGGCCCCGGGAAGGGCAGGTATATAACGACTGGTGGCGCTACTTTCAAGGAGCTGACGCCAATCGCAACAAGGCCTGGAAGGCCATACGGGGGCACCGCGAGCAGCGCAGATTGCGGTACGGGGCGATGGTCCCTGAAAAGAGACCAGATGGACCATTCCCACCTCCAGCTCCGATCGTTTTTTCCTCCTTTAGGGACGTCGGACGGCTCAGCGCGAAACAAGGCAGTGCTCGAGCTGAAGATGATCCTGGTACAGTCGGGGTCCATCCCCGCGGACCTCGGAGGTTCGAAAAAAGGAGCGTGTGGGATGCAATTACAGGAAATGGCGAAAGTTTACGGGAGGTTATGTTGCTCTGCAGCCAGCCCACGGGAGGCGAGAGTAAGGTAGAAGTGCTTTTGAAGCAAACTGACACCTTTCCTCTTCCAACCCGCCGTGAACTTCTTTTGCCCTTTTTGTCAGAGGAGCATGCGTGGACCGTTGGTTGGTTGAGAGGGATTTGCATTGCGCATTGAATTCATTTTGGGGGTGCCCAGATCCAACACTTCAGGAACAACATCAAGCAGACGATCGGCCAGCAGTTTCCCGAATCCTTCGGGGGCTGGCAAATGATGTGGCTAGGCTGAAGGAGGTCAAGGAGGTCACAGAGTCGTTCGATTGGGGTGATTTCTTTCGGACACGCACCATCGATTACAAGGGTGATGAGGTGAAGACAGCGTTAGGTTTCTGTTGGAAGAACATTGAGCCGGCCCTACCGAAGGAGATAGGTGTGGCCAGGTTAGTGGACATCTGCGGACAGGGTTGCAGGCACTACATCGAGAATTTCCCCGCCTACCTCAAAGCACCAAGTGAATGGGGACCCCTTTAGGAAGTCTCGGGTCATGGTCAGAGATGAGGATTGGTATGACGTGGCTCATGGATTATTGGGGGCGGGGATCTTTGGAGTAGCCCCTGAGTCAGAAGTATTCAAAGTTGGCACTAAATTGTTGCTCAATGGACTCTTCGGGGTTGAGAAAAAGAAGAATCACAAGGGGTGCCAATCTACCGCCTGATTATGAATCTAATGCCACTCAATGACCTCTGTCAAGGGCTGGCGGGGGACATACAAACACTCCTGCACTGGTTTGGTATGTCACCTTTCCACATTGAAGCGCGCGAAAACTTAGTAGTATCAAGCGAGGACTTGAGGTGTTTCTTCTACACCCTGGCTTTGCCCCCTTGCTGGTTCCCCTTCTTGTGCTTCAACAAGCCCTTGCCAGACGGCCTGGTCCCTCCAGAGCTGCAAGGGGAGGTGTGTTATCCTTGCTCGAAAGTACTTCCTATAAGATTCCTCAACAGTGTTGGAATCGCTCAGCGCGTTCACCGCACCCTGGTATTACGAGCCCAGCAACATAATCACACCCGCGACACCGAGAAGTGTGAGATCCGTAAAGACAAGGTGTTGCCGACCGGATCGACCGTGTGGCGCGTCTATCTGGACAACTATGACCTCCGGGAGAAGTATCCACGGGAAACTTTGCTGGAGGAAGCGGGGGAGTCAGCCCCTGAGGTTGAAGCTTTGAGAAAGGAATACCTGGAATGGGGGCTTCCTCGTCACCCGAAAAAGGGGGTGAGCCGGCAGGTTATGGCGGAGGTCCAGGGTGCGGTGGTAGATGGCCGACGGGGTTTGGCATACCCCAAAATGCAGAAACTCTCCAAATACGTCACCATCGCTCACCAGCTTATTTATTATGCAAGAGACCTATGCAACGCAGCGCCAAATGCAAGTGGTGTGTACTTCTCAACCTTTAGACGACAGCTTCTCGGAGGGTTGAAGTTGGAACTACATTGAGTCTTTCAACGTGCGGGGACGCCGCCGACTGCCCATCCCAAAAGGTGTGAAGCTGGAGATCTATCGGTTCCTTTGCCTCATCCCACTATGCCGAATGAACTTCCGCCTTGAGATGAACTCCACCGTCACTTGTAGCGATGCCTCACAGCACGGAGAAGGGGTATGTGCAGCCACAACCTGACAAGATTTGGAGAGCAAGTCGCTAGTCGAAGTTCGACAGGAGAGATGCAAAGCCACCGAGGTGGACGTATCTTGAGCATCAAACTGTTCGACGGCGTTGGGTGTTTGCGCGTGGCCCTGGACCTCTTGGGTTGCAACGGGGCGCGACGCGTGGTGGAACACCATTTTCCAGGTACAGTGCACTACCCTGACATCGTAGAGGTGAAGGAGAAGGACGTGGTGAGTCGGTCCCTGATGTATGGACAAGTTGAGATGGTAATTCTCGAGCACTACGGGATGAAAGATCTTGTTTGTTCACTCATGTCAAGCGCTTGCAGACGCTAGTACAACATCATTTCCCGTGGGCGCAAGTCCATACCCTGATGGAAAGTGTTGCTTCAATGGACGAGGTAGACAAAGACATCATGTCACAATCCTTCGGGGATTCGCCCTGGTCATGCGACGCTGGGAAACTGAGCTGGTGCAATCGACCGCGATTATACTGGGTGACTTGGGAGCTCAATGTGTCAGATGAGGGCGTCGAGGCGTACGGACGTGAGCTGTCCTTGTTCGGGGACCAACCCTGGGAAGACAATGTCTGAAGCGGGGTGGAGCAAGGTTGATCCCTGCCAGTCTTTCCCAACATTCACCACTTCTCGACCACGAGCGACACGTGGACACAGGCCGGCAGGGCTTCAGGCCTGTGATGATGACACCGTTCGTCGGTGGGAGTCGGACAGCCATAGATTCCCGCCCTACCAGTATCTTCCCCGTCATTGCCTGACCAACCGGAAGCAGGAATATAGGATCCCCAACGTCGCGGAGAGGGAGTACAATGATGGGGCTGCCAGTGGGCTATACGCAGATGTGCATGACCAAGAACCAGCGCAAGTCTATTGAGTACAACGACAAGCGCCTTAGCCTCATTGGGAATGGATGGTCAGTTCCTGTAGTGGCATGGTTTCTGAGCCAGCTAGTTGGCGCACGGGGCCTGGGCCCTCGACTGACTCCAAGAGAAGTGCTGACTCGCGTAAAGCTGGAGGGAAACCCCTACATACAATCCAGATTGATGAGACCGCCGCTGCGGATCGACCAAGCAAAGTCGGGAGTCCCGGAAC